CGGGCCTAAAATGGCCCGGGTGAACAGTGCCGAACTAGGCGCGGGCGCGGTGGCCGGCCAACGCGGGCACAATGGCCGATCGGCGTGCACGGCCGGGGCGCGATGGCCGTGCGGCGTGCCAAGGCGCGCACGGGCGAACGGACGGGCAGCGCGCCTAGTCGGACGGGCGACGCGCACTGGTCGGACGGGCACGGCGCCCGGGCGAGCTCGGCCACGGCGCTCGGCCATGGGCACGGCCACCGGCCACGGCACAAGCACGGGCACGGGCGCGGAACGGGCACGGCGACGGGCGCGCGGCTTGGTCGCGTGGGCGACGAGCCGGCTACGGCCTGGGCCCAGGCTGGTCGGGTGTTGGCGGGCTGGCGGCGGCGGCGGCGTGGCGGAGGCGCGGCGGCGAGGCTGAAGCAGGGGAGAAAGAGAGTGAGCCGGGGGGTAAGGGTGAGGGTGAGGGAGAGAGGATCGGGGCCGAGGGGAGAGATGGCGAACCGCGGTGAGTGGCCGGCGAAAGTGGCGATGGAGGAGCCGGCGGCGAGCAAGAACGACGGGCGACGGGAGGCGACGCGGCGGCGACTTCACTAGCGGCGTCGGTGGGCGGCACGGAACGGACGAGCTCGGATCGGCGAGCTCCCAGGTGCGCGAACAAACGAGCGGCGAAAGCGGCCCAGGCCGAGCTCCGCGGCGAAGCTGGGCCAGACGCGGAAGCGAGCAAGAGCGGCCCCAGGCTAGGCGGCGGTATCGAGGCAAAGAGACGAGCGAAGCGTGAGCGGCGGCCGAGCTCGCGCGCTTGGGAAGGAAGGGAGGCGGCGTCGGGCGGGGCTTCCGGCGGCACGCGGCAGCAGCGGCGACGACGCTGAGAGAAGACGGCGGCGGCGCTCGCGGTCGAGGCGGGCTCGGGCGCGATCCGAGGCCCCAGGCGAGCGGGGAGCGGGCGGCAAGAAGCTCGCCCGAGACGCCGGCGAAGAACAAGGAAAAGAAAGAAGAAGAAAGGAGAAGAAGGAAGAGAGAAGGGAGGAGAGAGAAGAAGTGTGTCAGGGGGGGTTGGTCTGCATGGGTATGGGCAGATGGGACGCAAGCAGGGGGGGAAAACGTGCACGTCCGGCGACCAGAGAGGGAAGAGAGAGGGAAAGAGAGAGAAAGGGAGAGAGAGGGAGAGAGAGAGAGAGAGAGCAGGACAGACGTGATAATGGGGGGGGAGTGGGTGCACGGGCAGAGGAGAGAGAGGAGAGAGAAAGAGAGAGAGAGAAAAATTTAAATGTTCAATCATATAAATAATGCGATTAAACGGCCCATAATAAAAACTGACAACGATTTATCGGTCCAAATTAAACCTCGAATATAATAAGGGATAAAGGCCAAATCAATTAAATCAAACTATAGCGAGGGAGGTCTACTAGTCCAAATTTGCACCTGGTCAAAAACTCCCCTTTTTCCATCATTGCTGACAATCTCAACGCTGGCTACGATAATATTGATACCGTCCAATTTATTTCGTCCTGAAACTCCCGAAAATCGACTACCAAGTTCGGGGTCTAAATAACGGCCAAATTCGATCGAGTGCGATTCTAGCGAAATCTCTATTTTAAAAACGAGAACCCGAGAGTGATCAGTTCCCGGGCGAGATTCCATTATAAGCGCACTGACGGATTACACGTTTTATAAATCCCAAAAACGGGCCAAAATTCGGAATGTCACAATATGTAAATCATATTTTTCCGGATCAATCTTATTCCCCTGAAAACAAATTTAGGGCAAGGATTTGACAATACTATGCAATTATAACCAAACACATAATATAAAAAGGACGAATATTATCTTTTTAATCTTAATATCAATAAAAATTCAACAAAGAAGACATTCCTCGACTAAGAAAAAATAGTGATTTAGCAAAGTTTTCAAATTACAAGTGTGATACAACATAAAATGTAAGTTTTTCCTGCGAAAAGCTTATAAATATATTGTAACAGTGAAGCTTACCTCTTGTACGTACCCTCACACCACCAAACCATGCTTGCTACTCATCCAGCCGCTTGATTGATAAACTATTTATTTATCAAACAACCACACGTAAAGACAAAAATTGTCGAAATTGCTTAATCAATTGTATCTACTAATGCTATCCATAATCTATCAAAAAAAGAAAAATTCAATCATCAATCTATAGATTATAATGTACGAATGTAATGAACATATGTAAGTTTTTGTAAGGCTTAGGTCCTCCAAATGAATTTTTTTTTTTTGGTAAGGGTCCTCCAAATGAATTTAAGTCACTGCAAACTAAGAAAATTAGTAGTTAGTGTTTCATCTCATAATATGATTAAAAACTATACAATTGTTAACACGGGGCCCAGAAATTGACCTCAAACATAATGAAATTAATGGCCCAAAATAAGCCACGACAACACGCTTAACCTATAACGCTCAATTGAAAAAATGGCTAACAAGCTTATCATTCATAAGATCATAACAATGCCAGTGGCCAGCAAAGCGAGCCAATATAATGTGTGGCGATCATGAGTTTCCGATGGATAGAGTTTAAGTGAAGTTCATTACACATGCTTACGATCGATAGACTCAAAACAAAAGTTGAAGACTGACTCAAAAAGGAACCATCGGCTGGGGAATAACTGTAGCAAAAGGATCTAGAGCGGTTGCAAATCATCCCCAAAGTAGCGCATAAATCACAAGGCAATTAGAAATTCTTGCGGGTAAGATCTACACGCATAATGAAATGACTTTAAAGATATAACAAGATTCAAAGTAAAGCATATGCACACTCAACACAGACAACACGCTATCGTCAATGAGCACAAGACATCAATGAAGACATCAGAAATCACGAATAGTTCATTAGATTTTGAAGAGGAGAAAATTATCCATAACATATTGATTGTGATTGGATTTTATCTAAGTTTAAATTCCATATTCAAATTATTTTAATTTCATAATCCAATACTTTCTCTTTTTTTATAAAAAGCTTTCTAGTCATTATAAGCTTTTTCATGTACTTCACTTATCTCCAGTAAGAAGTTTATATTCAATTTCAGTTATCGAGCTAGCATGACATCTAATAATGTAATCCATATGTTCTATTTCAAGAAAGTTTTCATGCAATTTCCTCATTGTTTTCAATTATTTGACTGGGCGTCATTTAGTAGGTAAGCTCTCGAGGCTTTGAGGCATATTAGAACCTATTTGCATTTGATTTGAAGTCATATTTATGCACTAAGGGCGCGTTTGGCAACTATTATGTTTCCGGAAGCTGATTCTGCTCAGAAATGATTCTTTTTAATTCCGTGCCCGAGAATAATTTCTATGCATTTGAAAGCGTTTGGTAACTCCCCAAAATTTCTATTCTTGGAATAGAAAAAGAACATAAATATATTTGGTAACTGCACAAAATTTCTTTTTATTAATAATATTTTAATAATATTTTGAATTTTTAAATATTTCTTTCTCTTTTTTCTTTTTATTAATAATATTTTGTAGTTTTCAGGCAATTTTTTAATATTTCATTCTTGGAAGAAGAAGAAGAAGAAGATTGTTTTTAGCGGCCGCAACTGGACAAAAATACACGTAACAACAATCAATGTAATTATTACTCTTGCGTGTCTCCAGAAACGATGCTGGGGCCAGTCCCTCGATCCATCATAAGGAAAATATAGTATCTGTCTTATGCGGATACAAATTGTTTTGCAACAAAACAAGTACTTTATGTAGGTACTGAAAACATACGAAGATGAAAGTTTTACTAGAAAATTACACATGTAGATTCATGTCGAAGCACAAGTATCTCGCTAATAGATTAATAAAAGACCCTCTTAGTCTGTAATTGTCATCATTGTCTAGCAATGGTGTATTAGCCCAGATGTAAGCAAAAATGGGGTCAGAAGAAGGTGCAAAATTATCAGTGGTAACCTCCATAGAGCTGAAAGTATGCAACTCTGAATTATTTAAATGACACCATCAGCACATTTTAGATTTGCAAAGTAGAAAGACTGGGACCGGAAGATTTTAACCTAATGCACCAATTTATTAGGTATTTCCCGCTTCTATTCGACTTATTCTAAAAGCTACCTGCCCCCTTCCTTTAATTGAGAAAAAAAAAAACAAAGAAGAAAAAGAAACGAAAAATTAATTATGAAGTCACAAAACATAGGATCGACATCATTTCAGTGTAGAGAAAGAGAACTGGACTTTCAATTTCTTTATACATAAACCTACTTAATGATGAGATGCCTTCTGTGCCATATTACATGTTTTACCTTTCTTAAATCCAACTGAATTATATCCATAGATGACCAACCACTTAGCAACTAGATGTCTGACTCATTAAAGCAAATCTCATGCTTTCTAAAGCCACGTGTTTGCTTGTAACCGACATAGCCGATATCAAGAACCCAACATCAGAACGAAGTGGATATGTCAGGAAAAGAAGCTTTTTTATAATAACCTATTGTTTAATGTAAACGAGAAAGCAAGGACTCTCACTCTCTCTCAATCTATAAACTCACTAAAATATTATACTCTAAGAGGGGAACAAAGAAAAATATTGCGTCCACCTAACTTGCCAAGTCAGTGATAAATCACGCCATTCATTGATCGACAGGTGTCTTGTCTCTCTCCTCCCTTACTCTCTTCTCTATCTTTCTTCAAGGGCAGCCCAAGGAGGGAACTTGTTGATGAAGAAGTTGGGAAGGAGACCGACGTTCTCGCCGATGTCGTTGGCGACGCCGAGCATGGTGTGAGCTGGTGCTGGTTGAACGCAACGACCGATTTTGAGAGAGTGGGAGTAAAGAGGGAAGTTGTAGGCATTGCCGGAGGCTATCTGGAGCCATATGGCAGCTCCCAGGCCCGCCCACGGTGGTTTCATCCCTCCTTTCAGATTTGCCATTGAAGAAACAAGAGAGCTTCTCTTTTCCTAGTCGCAATCTACCTCGTCATCAACGGCATCATCATCACCATAGCCGCGCTTCCTCCAAGCTCCAAAAGATAGAAAACCATAACAACAAATAAAGAACTCTCTAAAGTGGTCAAAATCAAATCCAAATCAGTCTCCCGTTTCCGAAGATGTGAGGAGGTGTTTAAGGAAAAGAGAAGGTGAATGAGAAAGGAAACGAGGGGAGATTAAGGCCAGCCAGTCTTGCCTTGACAAGGATTGCGAATCCCGGAGATTGAGGAAGCAGATTTTTTGACATATATAGATGCTTGTACGCGGGTGTTAAAAGGCAGAGAGTGCGACACTAATGGGAGAGGAAAAAACTCACGATGAACACACACTCTCAGGCTGAGCAAGCTGTGTCTCTAGTGTCCGCGGTCTCGTCCGCCCTCCTCATCCTGGAGATCCACTTTGGCGGTTTACTGCTGCGTTTCATCATCCAAAAGTACTGTCATCCGTAAGCACCACGATCCGCGAGCACCGCTTCCGACGGTATCATTCTATCAGGCGGTCCACTGTAGGTGGCCCCTTCCGCGATCAACACTATGATCCATTGCAGCTCCGACTCTGGGCCTTCATCTGACGTCTAATAACCGGGCACCACACCAAGACAGAATCCAGCTCGTGGTGTAAGCCAGTTCGAGCCACCGCCCAGGCGGGACTGAGACAGGAACTCGAGAATTTGCTCATCACTCGCTCACTAGTGTTCTTATTTTTCGGCTCTCCCGCAGGTTCCCTCTCGGCGAAATCTTCTTGCGACGGAGGTTTTCTCGTTTTAGTCTCCCTCCTGCATTCCCTTTGCGATGTTCTTCACGGTGGCCCCTCCTCCTGGCGTTGATCTTAAGGACGTGTTCTAGTGTTTTTTCTCTTGGCATCCATCAATTTGCGGCCACATCATCCTAAGGAAGTTCTCTATCCGAGCGAACCAATCATGGCCCAATGTTCCTCAGATCTTCTCGGCCATCCAATCTTCCACCGTAATCTAGACACTCGCCAGCATGTCCTTGGTGTCTCTTCACTGTAAGCTATACAGTCCAATCATCCTGGTGTCCTTTGATAATCAGTGGCAAGCCTTCCAATTGAAGGCATTCACAAGAGGCATCAATCCCTAAAGAAATCACAAAGAGAGCACAATCACTTGTACACTTATGCAGGAAATAATATTAAGCTAATTATATCAGTTATTCAACTAAGAATAAAAGTCTTTTCTCAAGCTTCATCTAGAGTCCAAATCATAAAATTTACCCTAATCCTAATAGGAACACATGAAGATCTCGAACGTTCTTCAATCCTTCCATGGTTCGGTTCTTCCATCATCTCATGTCATTCGTTCACGCGTCACAATCAATGAAAAGCATTAGAATGTTCACATAAAAGAAATGACCAACAAGGAACTTAGACAAATTGAGGAGATCCTTTGAAAAGATTGATGCATATAATCGATAAAGCCGATCAACGTCCTAACCGCAACCATTAATAACATATTACTTTTTTAAGTTTTCTTTTTTTGACATTTTCTATATTTCAATATTTCTTTTTTTCCCCAAGGAAAAGCTATCTAAAAATCAAATTGTCCTAAAAATCAAGAAATGGAATTTCCCAAACAGTGTAAACCTAAACTAATTGGAATTCAATTAAAATTATTTCTAAGATTCTACTACCTAACTAAGACTTGAAGGTCCTTATCATTTTTATATTTTTAAATTAATTTTTTTATAGCTTTCGTTTTTATATTTTTATTTCTTTTATTTCCTCTATTTCTTTTACAGTCCCTTTCCCAGTCCATCATATCCAGAACACGGATTCCTGCTTTGCTAAGGGTCTGCATAGCAACGTTTCTGTTCCCAGAAACAATTTTTGATCAGAAATAGTTTTTTCTATTTCTATTTTTTGGAACAGTTTCTGAGTAAAAAATAGCGTTTAGTAACTGCACAAAATTTCTATTCCTGGAATAGAAAAAGAATAGAAACGTGTTTAGTGCACGAATGATCCATTTCTATTCCATGGACGAGTTTCTGGCCTACCGGCGGAGGACGGCGGGTGGCGGTGGGGGGGTGGAGGATGGTGGTCGGCGGCGGCAAAGGATGGCGGCCGGCGGTGGGAGGCAGTGGAGCACGGCGGTCAGCAGCGGAGCACAGTGGCGTCTGGCGGCGGTGACGGCAGCAGGGGGCGGCGGCGGGAGGTGGCTGGCGACGGAGGGTGGCCATCGTCGGTCGATGGAGTAAGGCAGCCGGTGGCGGAGGATGGCGGCCGATGGTGGGTGACCGCCGCGTCGGGTGGCCCGGGCGAGCGAAGGTGGCCCGGCAATGAGGGCGGCCGGCCAGCCGGGTGGTGGCCCAGCGTCGGGCGGTGGAGGACAATGGCGGTGGTGGGTGGGCCGGCGGCGGGAGGACGGCGGCCGGTGGTGGGTGATCGCCGGCGTCGGGTGGTTGGCGGGGGGAGGCGGCCAGCGCCGGGTGGCGGCCGGCGTCGGGCGATGGAGCACGGCGGCCAGCGGTGGAGGACGGCGGCCGATGGCGGGTGGCGACAAGCGTCGAGCGGCGGAGAACAGTGGTCGACGACAAGAGGCGGCCAGCGGGCGAGAGGCGCCCGGAGGGAGTTGGCGGGCGGGCGGCGGCGGCGGAAGGCGAGCGGTAGGTGGCGGCGAAGGACGGTGAGAGGCGGCAGTGGGCGGGTTGCGGCCGATGGATTGTTTCTTATTTTTGGAGAATTCTAAAAAAAAAATCGTTTCTTTTTTCTTGTTCCAGAAACAAGAAGCATATTGTTTTTGCTTCTTATTTCTGTTCCAAATCTATTTCTGGAACACTTTTTTGTTCCAGAAACAAAAAAATAGATTTTTTTTACTAAACGGATTTCTGTTCTTTTTCTGTTCCGAGGAACAAAAGAACAGAAAAACAAAAAAACAGAAACGTTACTAAACAGACCCTAAGTTTCCCTTTGCCTCTTTCATTTATTCATTTTTTCCAACATTCTACAATTACTCGTACAGAGACATGATCAACTCTTTGCCATGTTCATCATTCACTTAGCTTTGTTCGTTGTTGTTTTAGCTTCAAAAAATTAACACCATCAAACATCTCATCAACCGGGGAACTCATTAATTCCAGTCACCTAGCACAATTTTTTGAACGAGAATTATTCCAATCTTGAGCAAACAAGTTCATGCGAGGGTTCATTAACTTCTAAGTCCACAGCCAAGTCAGGAGGTAATTTGATATCAATCCAAGCATCATCAATCAAAAAAGAAAAAGGCATGGCCGGTGAGCAAGAAATTCAGTCCAATGAATCACGTGATAAAACTAAATGGCAAAGGTTCAAATGCTTTGTTCACCAATGAAACTTTTACTAACACGAATTTACATGTGGCGGAGAGTAATGAGAACAGACATGAATCAAAGCCATCAAGTGTACATACAGATAGGCAAGGATCAAGTTGAACAATATGCATAGATAGGTCTCAGCCAATAAGAAATTTTTCAACAACAATCACGCAAACATGCCTAAAGTCTTCTCGATTATAGCCAAACACGAAAGTACTTCAACACGAGAGGAAGTTTCTTTTATCACAACTTACATATCTACTGATCTGGTTCATGAATTTCATCAAACAGGTGGTGGACATATGGGCCAAAGAACGCAGATGAAGATGTAAATCCATAATCCATATTTTAATCATCACAAACACAGTGAAACATATTCAAATCACTAACAGGAACTTAATGGCATACAATCTTCAATGAATCAGCAGCTAAAGATTTCTTGGTTTCTGTTCAGCATGTAAAAGGACCGAAATAGAAAAATATGTTCTCAGCTTAGCGAAACTGACTTTTTAGCTTCAACTAGCGAGTGTTGGAGAGCAGAGGTGTTAGTTGTGTCAGTGATGAAGATCCGGTGAAGGTGGATGGATCAACAATCGAGTTCTTTGAGCACTTCGATCAGGAAATAGAGTTAAACATAGGAGTTTCCACACAACTCGAGAATGGCAAGTGGTGACAATCAACGATGGCTATGGCTGCCTGAAATTGATGAAGAAAGCCGCTGGAAATGTTGGCTAAATGATTTAGACTAAATCCAAAAATGAAAACTAGAGAACGACAGATAACTTAGCTTCAATGTGGTTGCAGTAATCGAATGATGAAAAGCTTGAAGTGAAGAATCCGAGTTTGAACAAGTTTCGGTCATGGCTCGAAATGAGCGCAAGAGATGTTGCGTCACAGTGAGCAACAGAAATCGTATCTCTCTCCATCGCCAACACCAATAATTAGACTTGTCAAAATAGGTCATAAACCCATTTCTTAACCCATATATTAGTAAATGGGTCATAAATGGGTTAGTTATATTTAGTAAATAGGTCATAAATTGGTATATATATAATATGGGTATTAAATGAGTAGTAAATATGTCATAAATGGGTTTACAACTTATTTAAACTCAACTCATCTCTCTTGCCCTCACTCACTTTTGCCCTAACTATTCCATTTTCAATCTCAAATAGGTATTTGTGGATCCCTAAAAGAATGGTAAAATGTAAGAATAAAGTACTAGATTGAAAAAAGGTTACCACCATTGAAAATTCATCCAAGAGGCCCATATCACCCATTAATTATTCACATTCCATTCATTTTAACACATAATAAATTAAACGAGCCTTATTTCTTTCAAAAATTTCTAGATAATCCTTAGTTTACAATGTAAAAGAAAATATTTGACTCTTTTTTTATTCATTATATGATGTCATCTATAGCTTATAGTCAGTTATTAACTAAATTTTATACACAATCTATCATTTTTTTATTCATGTTATTTTTCGTCTTCATAAAAGCTCGTGTCTCGAACATTTAATTGAAAAAAATAGCTGTCTTGGATTTAAGAAGAATTTGTTGTTGTAATAAAAAAAGCAAAAGGTCTAGGTGAAATATACACACCGTTAATCCTTATTTTTTAATAAAATATTACTAAATATAAGGGAACTTAATTGTGAATCCTATAAAAGCTTATATTCGATTTAAAGAAATTTTGTGCCACGAAAATTATTGCTTGGATAATTTCAGTATTTATCAAAAAGGATAATTTTATTTATTATTTTTTTCCGTTTTTGGTTGAAAATACAATTGCATATAAAAAAAATTGGGAGCTTATATCATCATATGCGAGAGAGGGAGAGAGTGCTTTGACGACTACGAAGAGAAAGAGGAGAGAGGGAGCTTCATTGTTTGCCCTAACCGTTGTAGTCTCGGTAGTTGCTTGCGAATTCCTACAGGTAAGGTAAAAAGTAAGAATAAAGTAGTAGATTGAAAAAGGTTAAAACCATTGAAAATTCATCTAAGAGGCCAAGATGTCCATTGACTGTTCACAATCCATTCATTTTAACATATAATAAATTGAGTTAATACTACGAAAAACTCCAAACTGATATACCTGTGATAATTTTACCTCGAACTAATTTTATGATCACCAAAAATCTCAAACTGGTACACTTGTGACAAATTTACCTCGAACTATTTTTTTTACTATCAAAAACCCCACACTGATACACTTGTGACAATTTTACCCCGAACTAATTTATTGATCACCAAAAATCCCAAACTGATACACATGCGATAATTTTACCCAAAACTAATTTTTTGACCATTAAAAATCCAAACTGGTACATTTGTGACGAATTTACCCTTCGTTAGTATCCGTTAAATTGGATTAATATTACGAAAAATCACAAATTAGTAAACTTGTGATAAATAGAGGGATAAAACCCCAAACTGGTACACCCGTAAACTATCACGTGCCATCAAACTTAGCAATTTTACAATAAAATTTAACGGAAACTAACGAAGGGTAAATTTGTCACAAGTATACCAGTTTGGGGTTTTTGGTGGTCAAAAAATTAATTCGGGATAAAATTGTCATATGTGTACTAATTTGATATTTTTATGGTCAAAAAAATAGTTCGGAGTAAAATTGTCATAAGTGTATCAATTTGGGATTTTTTACGGTCAAAAAAAATAGTTTTGATTAAATTTATCACAGGTGTATCAGTTTGGGGTCTTTCGTGGTATTAACCCCAATAAATTTTAAGGGAAAATGGCATAAATGGTTTCTGATGCTTGACCTAAGGTGCAATATAGTCCCTAAATTTTTAATATGTTCAATGTGGTCCCTAACTTTAGCCCAATATGTAATATGGTCCATGAACTTTTAAATTATTTAATGTGGTTTTTGAATTATATAAAAATGATCAATTTTGTCCCTAAGCTTAATTAATAGATGGACAATATTTAATATTCTCATATAGTTCAGAGATTAAATTGAATATCTACCAAAAGTTTATAGACCATATTGAATAATTTAAAAGTTCAGGGACTACATTACACATTGGAGTAAAATTCAAGGACCACACTGAACAAATTAAAAGTTTAGGGAGCACACTGCATATTTGGCCAAAATTCAGGACCATTTGTATCATTATTCCTAAATTCGTCCGATTTCTTGCAAAAATTTCTTGATGAACCTTAGTTTAACAATGCAAAAATAATATTTGACCCTATAGTAGGTAGTCGGTTATTAATTATATCTTGTACACAATCTATCATTATTTATTCCTTATATGATGTTATTTATAGCAGATAATCGGTTATTAACTATATCTTATACACAATCCGTCAATTTTTATTCCTTATACGATATTATATTTCGTCTTCATAGATAACCCGTTTCTCCAATATTTAATTGAAAAAAATAGCTGTCTTCGATTCAAGAAGAATTTTCCGTCGCAATAAAAAAAACAAAAAGTCCAAATGAAATACATACCATTAATCCTCATCATTTATTAAAATATTACTAATTATAAAGGAACGTAAGTACGAATCCTACACAAAGATTATATTCGGATGCAAAGAAATTTCGTGCCACGAAAATATTTGCTCGGATAATTTCACGAATTAAAAAAAAAAGAAGAACAATAATAATTTCATTCATTAAATTTTTCTTTTGCCTTTTTTTTGGGTTGGAAAATGCACATGCACAAGAAAATTCGGGAGCTTATATTATCAGATACGCGAGGGGTAGAGATAGAGAGAAAACGCTTCGACGACGACGAAGAAGAAGAGAGACAGAGGAGAGGAGAAGAAGGGAGCTTCCATATTCCCTTTTGCCCTAACCGTCGCCATTTTCAGAGGTTCTTCCCGAATCCCTAATTCCCTCTTCTCTCCTCCTTCCGCCGCTTCCCTCCTCCGTTGAAGAAGATCCCCCCCGCTTCCCAGCTGCTCCGTCGTAGCGCTTCCCCCTCCTCTCCCCGAATTCCTCACCGATCCGAATTTGGCCCCTCCGTTTCAGAGGGACCCGGTCGCGCTTTCGCCGGCGCCGCGGCCCCGCTGATGCGAAGTGCCCGCGCGGTTGGCGCGGAGCCGCCGTTTTGATACCGAGCACCGCAGCCGTTGCCGTTGCTGGGGATCCCGCGAATCGGGGGGGTGATTGGATGATTGAGGATGCAGCCGCGGGTTGCGGATTGAAGGCATTGTTGCGTTGGTGGTGTGTGGTGCGGCAGCTATGGCTCAGCAATCGTCGCGACTCAATCGGCTGCTCACTCTTCTCGACAGTATCCTTTTCGTCTCGTGCTTGTTTGGATCTGGTGTTTGCTCGGTTGGTGGCTGTCGATTGGGTGAATTTTGCGGTTTTTTCCCTTAACGAAATTGTGTTTCTAGCTGGTTCGACTCAGTCCACGAGGTTCGCCGCGGCTCGCCAGATTGGAGATATCGCCAAGTCGCATCCCCGGGACTTGGCCTCTCTCTTAAAGAAGGTATTTTTATTTTCTTTGCAATGCCATTGGGACAACTCATCTAATCTAATCGTGGAGGAAGATATGTGTCGCTGCTGTTAGCTTGGCGTTCTGCATTAGAAATTTCATATGGGCATGATGACAAGTTTTGGGAGTCGCTCTTTTAGATCGTGCTGTTCGATATTGCTCTTTGAGGTAGTGCGGAGGCTAATGATGGGACTTCTGCGACATGAATTTCATTGAAAACAAGAGAGAAGGAAGATGTCCAGATAGGGGCTCTCCTTTTGGTGCAGAAACCCAATGTTTGTTTGGTATTATTAGCTTTTGATGCTGAGGCTGCCCTCTGCTAGGGTTTTGGCCGTAAATGGTGCTTGACAGATGCTATTCACGTGTGCTGTGATGATAAGGATTTCAGGAAGTGCTAGGCTAGGTGAAGGTTTGGCGAGTAGTTAAATAAGATCCTTAAAGTATGATATGTCCCATAAAATAGTAATAATATTTTCATTTCTTACAGCTGTGATATTAGTTTTTCAAGAAGTGCTAATGTTTTTTGCACCTTATGATTCTCATTCGCTTATGTGAGTTTAATTATTTGATTAGGTTGCTCAATACCTTCGTAGTAAGAATTGGGATACGAGGGTTGCTGCAGCTCATGCTATAGGCGCCATTGCTCAGAATGTTAAGCACACATCTGTGAATGAGAGAAAATAATCTGAAAAATGAGCCCCCTTTAATTTTTGGTGGGAAAATCCTTATATACCTCCCCCAAGTGTGAATTCTAGTCATTTGATTGATCCAATGGCCTAAAATCTTCCCTTAGTGATTAAGAATATTCTTTAGAGGCTAAGGATAAGTGACATAGTACTATGGATGGCCATGATGCAATTTTAATTGAACGACCATGACTTATTTGCTTAACCCCTAAGTAATTTTGCTTAACCTTTTAAGTAATGGTATTTTGGTAATTTCACTTAGGGGCATTTTTGTAATTTCCAGCATATGAGAGAGAGAGAGAGAGAGAGAGAGAGAGAAAGAGAGAGAGGTGGCCTTTGCCCGTCGGAATTGTGGCAGAGAATCAGTCGGCCCGATTGACCGGTTCAATTCCGATCAAACCGGGTTGATCCAGTTTGACCGGTTTGACCAGGGTTCGACTGGGCAGAACCGGTTCGGTTCTTCGCTCAGTTTGGTTCGAATTTTAAGCAATTTCAACCTTATTATGATTGATTGACTCAATTGAATTGAATTGAATTTGATTAAATTGGATTGAACCAATTTGAAATACAAGTACGAATTCACCAATCTTAACTTGTTTGGCTCAATTGCTCTTCAATTTGAGTTAAATTGCATTGCCAAACTAGACTAATGAATTTGATTAAAGTCTAATTGGCCAAATTGAACTTCAATTCATCAAATTGTATGTTAGTCTAGAGTGGGTCAAGTTGAATTATATTAATTAGACCAATTAGTCTTGGATTTCTCAATCATTGGATCATTAAATTGGTCAAATTGACTCAAATTAATGTGAATCTTCCAAAATTGATTTCGAATTTGAGTTTCATATAAGAAATTAGGTTTATCCGTCTTAATTATGCAAATCATGAAGAACTGATCGGAATCTCTAATTAGGGCTAAAATTGGGGGTTTTCAACCTTGGCTTGGAATTTTAAAATTGATTTGAAAATTGAATGCAATACGACCTCTAGATAAAATGTCATGAAGGAAACTATTCTAAAAAATGAATAGAAATGAATTAATTTCATTTTTGGTTGATTTGAACCAAATTCAACAAATTGGGAAAAAGTCGATTCTAAACCGATTTTTGTAAAATTGATGATGCCAAAGTGAAAAGCTAAAAAGGAATTGATTTAGGTCGTTTTGAATTTTTTTCAATTTTTTTGGACAAAGTGTTATCAAAAGTCAACATTTTAGTACTTATATACTAAAATGCCAATTAATGGGTCAAACTTTGAATGTTTTGAAAATTGATTGTGCAAAAGTGAAATTGACACTATTTTGGAGTTTTTCATGCAAAAAACTAAAATTTGACTTTGGGTTGACTTTTGGTCAAAGTTTGACAAAAAATTCAACTCAAAAGTCAATTTTTTAACTTTTTAAAATTGAAATGCAAAAAGCTAGAAAGTGAATGGTTAATGCTAATTCAGATGCTAAATGACTCTTTTTGGTTGAGGATTGGGTTCCGTCGTGATCGGAAACTCTAATCTCAAGCTTTTACCTTTCAAGATGCGTCAGCTAAAAATTAGGTGTCAACAGCTAGCCCTCTTTGAGAGGGAGTTCAAAGAGGTTCATCTCCAAGATCAAATGATACCTACGATATTTGGCCGACTCCACCGTAGATAAAAGGAAAATAACAAAATGAATGACATTTGATTAGAAGACGTTCTTTTGAAACTTACCTCGAGCCTTGGTATTGATCTCACCATTGATGTTCTCATCTCTCTTTCTCTCGGCCATGTAGTGTAAATGTTAAGGAAAGAAAGGATGGAGATGAAAGGAAGGAAAAGAAAGGAGGAGTAGTCTTTCCATTATAAGAAAGGGGTTTCGACTAGAAGGAATAGTTTTACCATTGTACAAAATGGGTTTCGACTAAAAGGAGTGTTCTTACCATGTAACAACAAATTTCGACTAAAAGGGAATGAATTGGTCACAGTTACTAACATTCATCATGTCGATTCGAAAAGGGAATGGTCATGAATGCGAGAGCACATCATGCCGATTTGAAGAGGTCACATGTGCGAAAGCTCACTATGCCTAATTTTGAAAAGGGATGGTAATAAGTGCAAGAGCACATCGTGCCGATTTGAAAATGTCACGGGTTCGAAAGCTCATCATGCCTCATTTGAAAAGGGGATGGTCATGATTGTGAGAGCACATCATGCCGATTTGAAAAGGTCACTGGCGCGAAAACTCACCATGTCGACTTGAGAAAGGAAGAGGATAATGAAGATCCGCTCCACTTGGGAAATTTTGATTTGAGAATGACTGCAACCTGCAATTACTTGGATATTAAAGATCCGAAGCTACTAACCTGCATCCACTTGGAAAAACTATTGAAAAGGAATCATTCAAGATTGCATAACCAATCAACTAAGAAATTTAATCAAATGAAAACTTTGAACGTCATTCAAATAATTGTCAATCAATCTCTTGGTAAATGCTATCGATTTGTCAAAATTCCTTTAAAGGAAAACTTCGAACAAAATGATTTTGATATCTTCAAAAAGGGTTGGTTAAAAATGCCAAGTTGAAGCACCTTAATTGAAAAGGTCTTCGTATCGTGGCTCTCACGAAGGCTTTTATTTCCATCCATTAATGAGGGATTCCATCTTTGATCACTGGGGATACCTCATATAACTTATGCTAAAGGCTTTTGGAAATATTCGCGGTAAATACAATATGATCAATCAAAAAGGTCTTTTGAAGGACTGTAATGTAGGTTTGGTCATGAGTTTACACGAAGGATTGTCACTTTGAGGCCAAGAAAGAAGTGTTATCAATATCTTCATTAGGTTTACAAGTCAAGAACCTTGAAGATAAGATAAGATAGGGTTGCTTCCACTCTTTCAAGCGGTAGCTTCTTTGTGAAATCTTCATGTTCACTTGAACCATTCCAATCGGGGGAGATTTTGAGAGGGTTGTAATGTCGGTTCGGATGAGGCTCAAAAGGCTTAAAATTTTGTAGAAGGGATTTTAAAAAGATGGTGATTATCTTGGCATTATTACCAAATCATCGAATCTTGATGCGACTCTTGAAACTTGTCTCGAGAGTCCATTTTTTCTTGCAACACAAAAGCTTTGCTCTTTTCTAAGCATCTTTTGCAATTGAAATTTTGTTTTCATCATAAGCATGTTGCTTTTGATGCATTTTCTTTTTCATGGACATCTACCTTGTTTTTATCAAGCACACTGCTTTTTCATGTCCCATAATATTTATCTTTGGCAAAAGTACACTAGAAGTGCCATAACTTGTGTACGGCGATCACTTTGGTGCCATAACTATTTTTCGGATCACTTTGGTTTCAAGTCGGAGGAAAATAGATCACTTTAGTGCCAATTTGGCCGGAAATCCGACGTGGCATTTTTTTATTAATTTTTTATGCCGACGTGGCTCGCCGGAGGATGAGTCAGTGTGTACAATCAGCATTTTTTATTTTAAATACTTTTTTTCAGTGTGTACAGTCAGCATTTTTTATTTTAAATAATTTTTTTCCTTTTTTTTCCTCTTCTTTCCTTTTTCCTCTTCTTTTCTTTTTTTTTCTTTTCTCCCCTCGCCGGCCGGTTGCCGGTGGCCGGGCCGGGAAGGGTTGGGCGAGAGCGACCTTCCCCATGGTCGACGAGGAGCGGCCTCGCCAGATCTGGGCGAGGCGACCCTCGCCGGCGACAGGCGAGGCCGCCCCTCGTCGGCCCAGGCGAGGGCTGCCCTCGCCAAATCTAGTGAGGGCGACCCTCGCCGGCGTCGGGCGTGCGTGACCCTCGCCCGCCCAGGCGAGGGCTTCCCTCGCCCGACGCCGGCGAGGAGCAGTCTCGCCTGTCGCCGGCGAGGGTCGCCTCACCCAGATCTGGCGAGGCCGCCCCTCGCTGGCCATGGGCAAGGCCGCCCTCGCCCATCCCTTCCCGGGCTTCGCCGGTGGCCGGCTCGGCGAGGGGAGAAAAGAAAAAAAAGAAAAGAATGGAAAAAGGAAAGAAGAGGAAAAATAAAGGAAAAAAATTATTTAAAATAAAAAATGCTGACTGTACACACTGAAAAAAATTATTTAAAATAAAAAATGCTGACTGTACACGCTGACTCATCCTCCGGCGAGCCACGTCGGTGTCAAAATTAATAAAAAATGCCACGTCGGATTTTCGGCCAAATTGGCACTAAAGTTATCTATTTTCCTCCGACTTGGCACCAAAGTGATCCGAAAAAAAGTTATGGCACCAAAGTGATCATCGTACACAAGTTATGGCACTTCTAGTGTACTTTTGCCATTTATCTTTTGAGCTCTTAGGAGTCTCGAGATACTCTTCACATATTCACCAATTTTTTTCAAATTTTCTTGGTAAATCATATGCATTGCCCCAATATGGAGAAATAATCACCACTTGGGCTTTAAAATGAACATACTTAAAGATCCACTTGGTTAAGCAAAGGTTATAAGTGCTTAGGTAGAGGAAATAATGCTTTTCTTTACTTTGGGATGCTTCGAGCTTCCATAAAAATCCACTTGTAGTTACCATAAGAAGGTTGACGCTAGTGAAAGTAATAAAATCTTTTTTAATCTTTTTACTCCAAAAATGATCAACCATAACCTCCTAATTTGTTTCAATATGGAGTGGTTCTTGACAAGGGTACTTCATCCTAAGTGTTTAGGATAAAGAAATGAAATACCTTTTATCACTTCAATCCATTTATTCAATGCGAATAAATCCTATGTCCTAAGACAAAGGTTTAGTTTTTTCGCTCAACTCTCAAAAATGAATAGGGATGTGTTTGGATTAAGTTTGCCTTTTGTCATCTTAAGTGCTTTGACTTGACATGACTAGCATTCACTTTTGCTTTGCCAAAAAATCATTTGTTTAATTTATCTTCCGTGAGGATTTTTTATGCATGATGTGTTTTCCAATGTATGAATAAATAATTTGAAGAATGCCATTCAAATTCTTCAAAATCATATTTTCATACTTGGAATTGTTTTTCCAACTTTTGAAAAACTTTGGAAGGTGTTTTTGAAAAACGTTGACAAAGAACATTTTTTCCAAGGTTTTGTTCACTTACTCCACAATGGGTAGTTGACAGCAAGGAGATTTTGTCGATGTATAATTCTTGACACAGCGTCGCCTTTGAGTTTGGTCTCG